CCTATCCATTATTCAATACAGTTGCAACTTGCTTATTATGTTGTAAATCACTTGCTAGGCTATTGTTGCACAGACGTATCATTATAGTTTTGTGTTTGTTTCATGTTTTGAATCCATTGCTCTATTCTTTTGTGAGCTGCATCTTCTAGTACAGTAGTTAGATGATCATAAGTGTGTCTGAGTATACAACAAATACATTAGACCAAGCATCAGGGAGCTTTTTCACTAGCACCTGTACCATATGTGCTACCATGAAATGTTCAATGGCACAATTATAAGGAGTGCGTAATCTCGGAACAGTAGTAGGCCATTAAATTGTTTGTTTGCCAAGTCAGTATCATTTCAAAGTCAGGGTTGCTTGGTTAACATTTAGAGAAAAAGAATTATAATACTGTCCTATGCATAATTGTATTTTTTATTGTTAAAATTATCTCACTAAACTACATATAGGGTTAAAATGTATACAGTAATTAAAAGCAATAAAACATATCATAAAAGTATATTTAGCCCCTCTTTAATATAAATAATTTTAATCACATCTAGATGTGTATAAGAGACAGATATATTACTTGCTTGCGGTACACCATGTAGATGGTAAAGAACAGGATTGTTGTTGAGAATGTCTCCTACATTGACATTGAGACGTTCTGCACAAAAATAACAGTTCTTTTCAGAACTATCAATGTGGTGTACCGCAAGAGGTAAATGTTGATACTGTAATTCCCAAACTTCTTAAATGTACAGTGTATTTATTATTAGGTCAAAAATATGCGTTTATTGGAATACAAGATTCCAATCTTCCCTCAGCTGTCAAAAGTTGTTCCATGATCAAACTATCAACAATTGTGGTATTTTATCTCCAATCTTCTCACTAATCTGCCTTGATTTTCTGCTACGCACATGGAAAAAACGATTTGCAAAGTAATGAACTTTCTACAACTGCATGAGACTTATTAAATGCTAATTGCTTATTTGTTTTTCTTCTTCCAGTAGGAAGGGTTCAGGACATTTGATTTATTATTGTATCCATGGGTGTTCCCTAATTACTCACTAAGGACTGTCTCTTATACACATCTAGATGTGTATAAGAGACAGCTAAGGGGTCGCAAGTCGTGGAGTCTCCTAGAAATCTCCAGCAAATTCATTCATCAATTTTCATGTTTTTACTACTGTTGTATCAATTGTCTACTGGAAATCAGTGCCAAAGTGTATCACCTTGCACAGGAAAATATGATTAGATGTGTTAATAATAAAGCTAATTTGAACAATCACCTAGATGTGGATTCCTAGTGGCGATGCAAGAGATTCCGCCAATAATCCAATGAAAGCACCTGTACCTGTCTCTTATACACATCTAGATGTGTATAAGAGACAGACCTAGTGTTATAGGCATACCTCTGTAGAATATCCTGGCAATGGGTCAAAAGAAAAATGTCACAAAGACAAATATTTACATTCATGATATCAGAAAATGAAAATAGGCTTCTGTAGTGATAAAATGAGGTAAAAATAAAGACAAAAAAATTTAGATACTAATCTCAGAATAATGTATCATGTTTATTTGATAAAAACATAACATATGCCCAAATATGGTCATGATGACATCATATCCTGCCCATGTATAGGCACATCATAACTATATAATGTGCATAACAACAGTTTTTTGGGTTTTTTTTTTTTTTTTTTTTGTGAAAGCGAATTTGATAATTTGAACAAAGCTTTATAAGAACAACATAATATTAATAATGGAATATCATACCATTAGAAAAATGTATACACATTTGTATTATACATTTGTTTTGTTAAAATATCATACCATATTATCACAGAATGAAATAGGCATGATGCAAATTTTCTCTAGAAAAATTTGGCGGGGGTGTACCAGTATGCCATTTTCTAGTTAGACAATTCTCGAAGGGAATATAGCAGTACAGTAGTATATAATTGTTTATTCTCTGCATTTTATGATTCATAGCTTATTCCCTCAGTAAGTTTCTAGTTCAATGTATACTCCTAACAACAAGGGTACAATATTATGTTATATCATTCTCATAGCAACAAGTTTCCATAGTGATGAACACTGTATTTTTTTCAAGCAACAGGTATTCAAAGCACAGCTTAGATCATCCTCTCATAAATAGATTATCTAATATGTTAACTTTTCGTTGAAGGGATATGTGTGATACGATTATAGCATCAACATAATTTTATTATCCAATATGTTAATAATATTTTAAATATTGTATGGTATGAAATACATATCACCTTGATAGCGAGAGGTTGCAGGTTCAAATTCCACCAGAGACACTTTTCTTCATACAACTGCAAAAAGTTAAGTTTTCATTGAAGGAATATGTGTGATACGATTATAGCATCAACATAAATTTATGTTGTATCTGTAGCTATTCTCAACACACAAAGTACATAGATCATGACTACAGTTCTTTGCTGTGTAAGGAGGTTAACTTTATTAAATCTCCATCTCTGATTATGGCGATCATGCTACATGAATACAACGTGTTCTATCCATGCTACGCCTGTGTAACTCGCAAAGGTCACTTAAAATGCCATCTTACGATGAACCACAGGTTATCACACTTATTTCTCAAATCTATATATTAATTTTTCAATGAATATTTTCTATTCCCAACTTTTAGGGGGAAAAAAGGGGGGGGGGAGTGGTAAAGGCCAGTGCTTATTGATAATAAAAATTTATTTAGTACATGCTCATTTATTATCTACAAGCTTAAAGTCAGGCTCCGGAGGAAAAACAATTTTCTACAGATTAAACATTAACAATAGTTAATGTAGCCCTATCCATTATTCAATACAGTTGCAACTTGCTTATTACAGTATGTTGTAAATCACTTGCTAGGCTATTGTTGCACAGACGTATCAATTATAGTTTTGAATCCATTGCTCTATTCTTTTGTGAGCTCCTCTAGTACAGTAGTTAGATGATCATAAGTGTGTCTGAGTATACAACAAATACATTAGACCAAGCATCAGGGAGCTTTTTCACTAGCACCTGTACCATATGTGCTACCATGAAATGTTCAATGGCACAATTATAAGGAGTGCGTAATCTCGGAACAGTAGTAGGCCATTAAATTGTTTGTTTGCCAAGTCAGTATCATTTCAAAGTCAGGGTTGCTTGGTTAACATTTAGAGAAAAAGAATTATAATACTGTCCTATGCATAATTATATTTTTTATTGCTAAAATTATCTCACTAAACTACATATAGGGTTAAAATGTATACAGTAATTAAAAGCAATAAAACATATCATAAAAGTATATTTAGCCCCTCTTTAATATAAATAATTTTAATTCTTACAAAAAAAAAAGAAACCCTTAATTTTCAAATTATTAATTCAGCCACAGGCTATGAAAGTTGTTCTCTTTTTGGCCTAATTAGTATATTTTGGTATTAAATATATCTGCGGGCATTAGTAATAGCCTCAGTGGGTACATGGCATGCACAATCATACAACTAAAAACAAGTCCTAATTGGTGCATGCAAGACATGCCAGGAATGAAGATGTTACAATAGGCCTACAGCTACTAGTACAGTACTGCACTTACAAGAACCTGACACTGATGACCTTACCACACTAACCCTCATTAACCTGGGTGGGGTGCTCATCATACCAGTGTCATCACACCACTCAGCCATCTGCCTACCTGTCTCAACTTACTGGTAGTTATTAGTGGTTGAGTAATGATTTGTTTATAGTAAACTATCCTCATGGTTCCATCTCCATTTACTAGTAGGACATTAACTTTTAAGTTAACCTCAATTTGAATACAGTACTGCAATGTACATTTTATTTAACCCTGAAGGTATGATTTTAACCAGATAAGCTAATAATATTTTGTTTTTGAATTTTAAAAAAACAATACAACAAATTTGACTTACTGTACACACTCGCATATAAGACGACCCCGGAGTTTGAGTAGATTTTTGAATGATTTTTGTATGCGTATAAGACAACCCCCGTTTCATCGTCGGAATTCCTACTTTTTTCTGCTTTTTAATGCCAAATACAAGACTATCTTCCAAAATATTACCACTTTTAGGAGTTTTTAAATGTTTATTAACACCTTATTTCCTCGTATTGAAGTAGTAAATACAGTATGCTTGTTACGGACAACCCACACATAAAACAAACATAATTTAGTAATTCGAAAATTTGTGTGTCGTATGTGTAAGATGACTCCCAGTTTTTCCATTGTAATTTTGCTATTTTAAGCCGTGTCTCATACACGAGTTTATACAGTAATTTGATTTGGCATTCTTGCTTATGGTCAGTTGAGAAACATATCTCTGCTATATAGCACGAGATCATTTTTTTTTACTGTGCAATTTATTTTTTATAAATTTTATATTATTTTTATATTGATCAATGATACTGTATATGTCTTAGTTTACTTCTTGTTGTGGACTCAAATGGAGATAAGTTTACTTTGATTTAAAACTTTATTTGGTTATCCAGGTTCAACAGTACAGTAATTCCTTTTTACTTGTACTGTGTACATGTTATATAAATTATATATATTTTTTAAATCATGTTCTTACGTGCGGATCATATGTAACACACAGATTTACTACTGAAATGAAGCTCCTGAATAGTATGAATCAGGGAACAGTTAAATTACATGAATGAACAAAATTTTAAAAGCGGGGAAATAAGCTTTTGATGAACATTCAAAAGCCCATAAAATGGTATTATTTGGAGGATTGGAACTAAATTTGGCTCCATTTTTAGCAAGCTAGATGCAGTATCAGACCATGGACCAAGCGCTAGAAATTAAGAATTCCAACTGTGAAACAGAAGGGCATCTTATATGCCTGACATACAAAAATCGTCCAAAAATCTTCTCAAACTCAGGTTGTCTCATACGTGGAGCGCCTTATACACAAGAATATATATATACTATATATCTTGAATTTTTTTTTTTTATTGTTACATAAATAATGTGTTAAATTATTTTTTACAGGTTGGAATTGTGCTAGGTGCCTTGAGTGTTGGAATACCAGTGGAAAAGCCAAAATCAGGGGAAAATAGCAGTTCTTCCGATAAGAACTCCAGCGTGTTTGTAGCTGTCATCACTATTGCCTGCGTATCTCTTGTAATGCTCAGTGCTGGATTAGTTTACATCGTCTGCGACAGAAGACGAGCACGGAGGGGGGAGTACATAACGGACAACAGCTCAGAGGTAGATGGTGGGTATGACAACCCCCTTATGAATGAGAAGAAGGGTACAAATGGCAATGGCGTCCATCTCGTGAAAGTAGACACCGCTATGGTACCAATGGAGGAACAGGCAAATGGAGATAAAGGAAAATTTGAAGTGGAGGATACGCATCTGTGAGGGTCGTGTGACTTGCTGGGAATATTTTTAATCAGATCCCAAAGTTTTCTATCATATAATTACAAGAAATTGTAGATGAAAATACCTTAAAAATATTTTATGCAACTCATTCAAATCATTGCTATTAAATTTATTTTTTTATTGATATTTATTAATATAACATTATTTGACAGTTCAAAACCTACCAATATGGAATCGAGACTGTCATGTACAGTAGTTCATGCGCATGTTTTGGTGAAAATAAAACCCCTCAAATTCACAAGATTTCATGTGATTTTTACAGTATGAGAGTGCAATTTTTAGGAATTTACCAACATACCAACCCTTGGTTGGATGTCGATGTATTAAAGACATGTTTGTATTGGATAAATTCTGACTCAAGATGGAAGGTATGTTTACCTTTAGTCAAATCATACTGATGTTCGCACGAGAGTGCAAGTGGGTACGGTCGGGCACTACCCGGAAATTAGGAGAATTTTAGAGGCTTATTTAATTGATTTTAAAGTAAACTAACATGTAAAAACATAGCAGAATGACAAATAGGATTTTCCACATGCGTCGTCAGTCTATTTGCGGATATATTCTGTGAAAAGTCAGCAGAATTTATTTGTTGTACTTTTGACAGATGGTAATCTAGGGCTTTGATGTAAGAATAATTGTTAAATTTAATATCTTATTAGTTATTTTTATTAATATAATTATTATTATTTTATCAATATTAAGAATATGTATTTATATATACATATTTCTAAGTAAATAATTGATTGAATTTTATAACACTGATTATAAATATGCAAATGAATGATATTTGTTTAAATTATATAGTTTTACCATTATGTACATAAATTGTGATGGAAAAGAAAGGCTGCATCTATTGACAACAAAACACAGTAAAAAATCTTGGGAGTGGTGAGTGATGCAGATCTTAGCATGACTTAATTTTGTTGTACGATTAACAGGTATTTGAGAGGGCTACATAGAATTAGAAAGTTTGTAGACCATAAGACCTGTGCTGAAGCCACCAGATCGCTCATTTTATCAAGACTAGACTATTGCAATTCTTTGTTAGTACGTACTCCTGTCAAAAACATGCAGCGATTGTAATCATTACAAAATCTAGCTGCCAGATTTGTATACCAGGTACCAGTGTCGGTGTAGGACCTCTCCTAAACAATCTCCATTGGCTTCCGATCGAGCACAGAATCCAATTTAAGGTATTAGTTCGTGTATGCAACTGTTTTGCCGTGCGAGCGCCACAATATCTTCAGAAGTGAGCTTAGATCTGAAAGGGATGTTACCTAATATAGCACGATCCTATGGTGAAGCGTGTGTCAGCTGACCGTGCCTTTTTAAATTTGGCCCTATGTTTTGAAATGCACTTTCAGGACAAATTAGACTTGCACAGTCTGTTAGGCAAGACTTTTTATTCCTTGTTTCACATACTTATTTTTTAAAGATCATCGGAGGAGGGCGGAATAAAAATTAAAATAAAATTTTGTTTTCTTATTTAGCAAATAGTTTTGCCCAAAAAATCCAGACGGAGGAGAAAATAAAAATAAAATTTTATTGGTGAATGTAAAACAGGATGGTTAAATGCTTCAAATTGATATAATTAGGAAGAAATATACATATCTTATCTTTGGAGATTTCAAGGCAGCGGAGGGCGTAATCAAAATTTTTAAAAACTTATTTTTTTTCTAAAATTTCCACTTTTTCGTGGCAGCAGGTGTGCTAATTGGTCAAAAAGAAAATTTAATTTTTATTCAAAATCATCAATATTTGCAGTTGACAGGTCCGTTAAGCAAGGTATAAAAAAAGTCACACCTTACAGGTTTTAAAAAATTACTTAAATTTCCCAAGGTATTTTAATTGTACATAATTTTTTATTGTTCAGCACTTTGATAATTTTTGGAAAAGTGCTATATAAATGATTTTATTATTACAGTATTATTATTTATATGTTTACAGTAGGTATGCAAGTGTATAATCATACAAAATATTGGCAAAAATAAGTTATCTTTTGCTGTTGAAAAAATTGTACATTTTATTATATTTTGTAGTGAAATCTGACTGTTTTGAAGGTGTCTTCTTATTAATGACAGACCTCTCTATGAAGTTTGTTTTTATACCGTTTAAGATCCATGGCTTAAATTATTTCTACCCTACTTCAAATATTATAAATAAGCATATACTCAAAATCTAGTCTGCTAGCTGTGGTGGCACCAGGATTTGGCAGGAAGGCCAACCTATTCACTGTCAGGGGGCCTGACAATTTCTGTGGAGGCCATCGAGTTCCAGGAATTTAGTCCTGGTGAAGTCCAGGTGACAAAGCCTAAATGGTGCTTAGATAAACTAGACAATTTTGGTTATCTTTTAGCTGCTCTGAGAGATACTGATATACGAAAAGAACAAATTTGTTTATATTTAAAATTTCTTTTCTAATGAGTATTTGCTGACGGAGAGCTTGGCCAGACCGATAGCAGGGGAAGTTTGGCGCCACCACCATTACCAACAAGTCATGTCTGCATTGCGCACAATCTGCAATTTAGCAGTTACTCTATGCCAAAGATATGCGGTGCAACAAACTTGCTTTTTAAAAGTATTTCTTTACATTTAATGTACATTGGTTTTTTTATTGTAATGGAAGTATTTTTGTGCTTAGTTCAGTCCATTTGTATTTACTGCATGTTCTCTTATCTAGAAAATAATATACCCTATTGTAGTAGACCTATTCTGTTACTGTTAGTTATTATCTTTTGTATAATTTTTGAGTTGTAAATTTCATGTAAATACAGAACGATAGCTAATTATGCTGCGTTCTGATGAACACAACTCATGAACAACTACAACTTTAAGTGCATTCCTATGCAAAGAATTTTTTCAGTATTTAAGTATGTACACTATTTGTACAAATTTTGGAAATGTGATAAATTCATCATTCATGCCTTATAAATTTCCCTGCATTTTCACAAAAAAAAAAAAAAAGATATAGAAGTTGAAGCTGTTTACTGTTTCTGAATCCGTACAATTCAAGATTATAATTCCAGTATTCTAAAAACCGTCAATGTCTGACATCGTGCTCACAACTTGCATTGTGGATAACTTTTGAAATTCAAACTGATTATAGTTTCACCAAGCATTATAGAACATTTTATAAATTCGTAAACAATGTCGCACATATGAAAGACATTGTTTCGCTATGGTTTTCGAAGATATACTTTCTATTTGCACCTGATAAACTTGAAGATTAATATTATGAATTTTCGTATTGGATATTTCTATTGCTTACTTTGTATTTGAGTAGTTTGAGTTTCAATTGAAAATATCTTTCTAGCTTATTTACAGATGCATAAATTATAGCATACTGTAAACCCTAAATTGGCCAAGAGCCACAACTGCAAATTAATGACTTTATTGCATGGTGAGGGTTCATTAGAAACTGGGTAATTTTTTTACCATTTTAGGCTATCCCAAGACATTTTAGAATGTAAGATACCCACAGAAGTTTAATAAAAGATTACCATTTTTCCACTTTTTAGTCCAAGTGGTGGGAGATAGGGGGTTTGGCCTGTCTGGAAGGAGGTTACCTTGATGTCACTGTTCTTAAATTTATTTCAATTCCAAATGTAAATAAAGGTATTCAAATAGACAAGATACTATAATATACTGCATACATAGATTCTAGGCATCTGATTGGTTAAAAAGCGGGCAATCACTTCAACCATCACTCCTATGACGTAGGTTGGGGTTATAGTACTTTTTTTCCGGGAGTAAAAAAGTACTATCAACGTATTTGATAGTACTTTTTCTTTTTAGGCCTCGTAGAATCCATGTATGAGGTATATAAAACAAATATTGACTGCTCTAATTTCCGGAAACGGTGAAATCTATAGCCACTCAGTGATATGCCACATCACCTCAGGGCAATAGATTTCACCATTACCCTCATGAGCAGTCAATATTTGTGTACTATTAGATGATGATTGTTCTATCTAATGGTCACCCTCCCTCTGCAACCACAATACAATATACATTTTGTACAGCATCTTAGAAACTGTAGCGATAATATGTCTGTATACTTGCATAATTATTTTATATAAATATTTTTGTGTTGGCATATAAATTGTTTGTTTTTTTAGGCATAAGTTTTAGGTTCAATAATATTTTATCATAAATATTAATAACCTTTTGGTTTCTAAATTGATTACCAATGCTACTGAAAATCTTATTGAATTAATGGAATTATGAAATAAAGGTTTTTTTTGTCAAAATATGTCGTAAATTTGTGATTTGCATAATTAATTTAATTCAAAGGTGACCACTGTATACAATGGATGGTGTGTAATCAAACCGTGTAGTATACAAACAGCATTCAAGTCTATATATACAGATCACAACATTGGCACGCAAAAGCAATAAAACATCGTCGCTTATTCAAATCCAATTACACACAGCAACAACAATTGTTACGCATGCATTATTTACAATTTGTTCTGCAGTCTTCAAGCTGAGTAAGGCTTAACCAGAGTCAGTGATTGGTCAGATATATGTTGTACTACATTTTTTAGAAATAGAAAATTATTCTATGTTGAGCAACACATTACTTTACAAGTATAAATGGATCAAACGTATATGAATATATAAAGTATATATGGATCACCATAATAAAGTATATAAAAGGTTCTCTTTTTTTGTCGCTGTTGTATGTCCACTGTCAGGCTCCATATAAATAGTTTAGGTCTCTAAATGTCACGGCAGGTCAATTTCTAATTTTTGTAATATAATTGCTATGATGTTACTGTTCCAATAGGAGTCTTCTTTTGGAAGCACTTTGGCATCACTATGTTTATAAAACAATACTACTGATTGATTAATTTCTGTCATGTGATGTAATAAAAAGCAGTTAATGTTAGGAGAGACTTTTAAATACCTTGTTTAGCGAACTTATTTTAAAATTGGTCAGGAGGGGTGTTCACAAAAAATATATTAAAATAAAATTTTGTTTTCTTAGCAAAATGATTTTACCTAAAGGACCTAGGCAGAGAAGAAAATAAAAATAAAATTTAACTGATGAATGTAAACAGTGTAGTAAATGAAATTGATAAGTGCTTTAAATTTTATAATCTTATTTTTGGAGATTTCAAGGGAGTGGAGGGCAAAAAATTATTTTTATTTTTTCTGAAATTAAAAATTAAAAAAAAAAATAAAAAAATTAAAAAAATTAAAATTAAAAAAATTAAAAATTAAAAAAAATTATTATTTAAATTCACCATTTTTGGTGGTCAGAGTATTCGCTAAACAAGGTATAAAAACATTCCTCGCCATACTAAACACTATTTTTTCTAAACAGATCAATGCAAGTTTTATGGTATGTTGTTCAAGAAAAAAAATATTTCAATTAAAATACATTAAGCCCAGATTGAACACAAATTTTATTGTATAAAAATGTTTTAAATATATAATTTTAACTTCTTTTAGTAAAAAATAAGACAAATTATCAATACTTTTATCACAGTATAACACTTTAAAAAGCTAAGTAAAATTGAAAGTCCATTTTTTATTTTCACTAAATATTTTGCAAAAATAATTCCTTTTCAACAAATTAAAGATATAAATGCCTAGGCCTATGTTTGAATACAGTTCCTCCAAAAATACTAAATGCAATAAGTATTTTTGAGCACACAAGATATATGATAATGGCAACACCATATTGTATTCAATATTTAAACCATAAGTGGAAAGGAAACAGAGGATATATATATTATTTTGTTATTCAAAGATATTGATGGACAATACAAAAGTTGTACCATTAGTAAACATTTGGAGTCATATTCTAAAATACATACCAAGTGTTTTAAGTTTTAAGAAAATAGAATTGTGATTGTGACAACATGCAACCATTGTCTGACTCTAAAACAAGAGTGAGAAGGAAAAGGTTTTAAGTTATTTTCTTTTAAAACCTTAAATGTATACAAGGATGATGATGGCAGATATACTACAAATGTAAAAAAGAACAAAAGTATATCTTCTAAAGGAAAATATGAATTTTTAAAAAAAAACCGCATTTCTCCTCTAATATAATCTTTGATATTTAAAATACACTTCTTATTCTGCATTAAAAAAGCACAAATCAAGGTTTGATTCCATTATAAAAAGAAAGCACCCAAGTATAAAATAACAGCTCAAGAAACCATATGTATCTCGACTTATCCAGGGCTCAGCATACAATCATCATATTTACCCGGTTTCTTTGATTTCTTCTCGTTGATTGGCTGTTTGTTGGTAGCAACTGGTGTAGAAACAACCAGCCCTTTGTCTAGAAGTTCTTGATTAATGTACATGTCCCCAGGACCAGAGGTGTCGATTAGTACGACATGAAGTACTCCACTCGGCATACTGAAAACCATTGAAATAATAATAACGGTAGTCTTATAGACAAATCCAATTAGAAAAAGACACTCTCTATTGGTGCTGCCTGTGCTGGGACCTCTTTGGGGTCTCAGTGTGCAAGCCAGGGTCCATCTACAGTGGTGCGATGTATTAAGAGAAGATTACGATGAAAACAAAATACTGTACATACTATAATTCCGATATTTACATTTTGTAGCAAATGATGCGCAAGAATCCCCTACCGAATCCCCCACATATGGCATCTGCAGAGGGTGATTTAATCACCAAGAATGCATCGGACTATGCAGATATAGCACATTATGCCAAGGCTTTTATTATTATTACCCCGGTCATTGGATTAAACACCCATGGAACACAAGCTGAGCTCTCTGGGGGAATATTCCATAATGTTGCAGCAGCATAATCAGCACTTTTTCATTCTAACCCTACTGGGTACTCCTGGGTAGAGAAAAGAAGTGCATACAAAGCGCCTTGCTCAAGGACACAAGTAAAATGCACAGCGTGAAATTTAAACCTCGGCATGGAGTTCGGGAAAACGAAACATTCCCACTGCGCCAAACTTTCAGACTGCGCTTTTTACAATAGACATTATTGCAAATTATCTTATGGCTAGTTTATGGCATGTTCATTCGTCCTCTCCAAATGATACAAAACACAATCAATATTAAATTAGCATCTTCTTCATTCGTTGATGCATTACAAACAAAACAGATTTAATTGGTACATAATTTGAGAAAACTGTTTCCTTATTCGGTGAGTGAATATCTAGGCCTAGCTAGCAAAAGGCCAAATCTGAACCTAAAGCAGAATAAAAGCTTGACTTTCAATTACATTCTGCATTGTCTTTTGCTAAAGTACATTCAAATATTCTGAATTTACTTCAGATGGGTTAGTTTCTGCAAGATCTTTGTGTGCTACCGGAAGTGCAAGAGAACGTGCCGATTTCAGGGAGACTCCTGTGAGTCTGGAAAAACTTGGGGCACCAGCATTATGGTATCTTTCCAGATTCACATAAAATACCATTATTGTATATATACAAATTAGCTATAAATATCTGTACTGATTGTACAGTGCTGTTGGAGTTTCCTTTTATATATTACATTTCCTTATGTTTTACGTATATTTTCACATAATTATATAAATAATAGTTATGTATGCATTTTTAATATACAAATCCTAATCATACATATAAACAATCACATTAAAGATATCCAAACAAATACATAACAACAAAATAAGAATTTACACTACTAGTTTTGAAGTTACAGGTCTCCCTCCAATTAAAGACCATTTTAGGGACCAGGGTTTTCATGGTCTTTAGCAGCTTTGGTCTTCAATTAGAAAAATTATTATAAAAGGTAAAAGATAGACATTGATTTGGGGCTGCTGAAAGGGGGTCTTTTAATTGGAACATTCCGGAATGTCAATCAAACTTAACAACTGACCAATCAGAACAGGGCCAGGAATGTGTGTTTCGAACAAGCATATGTGTTGTCCCACAAACGCACCGGTTTGCGTATGTCTTAACACTGTCCTTTTGTGGGACCAAATGTCCAAGGGGCGGGGCAGGGCTTAGCGGAAAGGTCTGTTGGAGGAGTTTAACTGGAGGAAGACTTGGAGGAGTCTAACTGGAGGAAGATTGGTTGATATATTAACATAGTAAATAGATATGAAAACTAACCTTGATTTCACCAGTGCTACTAGTGTTTTATCTTTCGTCATTTCTTCCAAACATTTCCTATAAAAAGGAAGAAATTATATTTGAAATTTTCTAAAAATAAAATATAATTAATAGTGTTACAGAACTACTTTACCAAACATAAGCTAAAAATCAATGCAACAAACAATGAGATAGCAAATATAAGAGAGTATAATATGTTAATTTGTGATAGATAAATAAATGGTTTATTTGAACACATAGCAGTAATGCTGAATTGAAATAGTATTTAAAATTTAAATAAATAGATGTTAATAATAAAACAAGAAAAGACAATGGAATATGTTAGGTACATGCAAGACCATGTACATAATAATAGAACATGTCAAACATTAAGAGATAATAAAAACTCCATTTTTAAAATATCAATTCTAAGCACCTTGCCATCAAGAGTTGTAAACATTAATTGCTTGACTGAGGGTGAAGGCCAATTTTTCTTCACAAAAATGGGCAGCATAAACACACACACACACAAATCTTATTTAGACCACTACCAGATACCGATTGCTTGGAAATTGTCAATGGTTTATTAAGGAATGTAGACGAGAAGATGGGAAACTTTTTTCTGTTCGTAAAAGAGGCTGGATGTAGGTAGTGATGGGTTTTTGACTGAACACCCCAGATAAACAAAAGCATGCCCTTCCCTGGCATCCATATTGATGACGAAATTCACTATTCACATGCCCGAATGCCTCAGCTCCAGGGGCTTTCCCTTCTGAATCCCCAGATGAGATTACTTCATTGACCTCACCAGGGCATGAAGGCACCTCGGGCCTGTGAGTCCCATCAGAAGCCAATTCTTGAGGAATCCTGTTACTGGCAAGGGATTCAAGTGGATGGAAGTATTTGATGGAATGGTCAAGTGGTTGATAGCACAGAATACAGAGTAGTGGACAGGAAATCTTGCTGGTTGATATACATTAAAATGTGAAGATTATTGATTCATAAAATGCACACAGTTCACTGTCTAAGCTTTAAAAATAAAAATGGTATCTAGTAACGTACGGTCTGAAATTATTAAATGGAAACTCATACCATAATAAATGTTCTAGAAGTGGCTAGAAAATCCTACCCAAGATTGTACTTATGTATTCAACATACAACCTGTTCACACTACTGCTGATCCTATTGGGCTATGTCCTTAACTTCTACCAATGCTACAACTAAAACAAGTGGAAAGAACTAAGCAGAGTGTCTGGAGATTGTATGAATGTGGCATGCTTTAAATTCAATGACAGTCATCAGCATTCTTAATTTTTAACTACCAGTGCATGCCATCTTCCTCCAGGCTACTCGTAAAACCATTACTGTACTGTGATGCAGAAATTGTATAATGTAATGAATATTGTTAACTTTTGCCAACTCATCTCAAAGGGTTCACTAAGAACATTTCTAAACTCACAGATCACAGAAACACACACCTATAACTTTTAATTGAAGAAAGGTATCTTTGAAAGGACACCTACCCTACCACCAAGTCTTCCATCCATGAGAACGCCATTGAAAGTGTAGCCTTTCAGATCACATGCAGCCATTGTCGATGTAGCTCCTTGCTGAGGCCATGTTGCAGTAAAAGCAGAGGTATTAAGCGATTGGTTAAAGGAATATGCAGGGAATTTAACTGTCTTCGACAACACCTTCCACAACGCAAGGTTCAAATTCCAGACAGCATTGCAGTTGCGAGCATCAACTACTATATTAGAGGGTGCATTAGAAGACCTTTTGCGTTTTCCTCCCTTGCAACCTCTTGCCCTTCTAAGAATGCCTAACTCCTTCATTTTTTGGTATGCTGAGGTTTTGAGTAACTTCTTAGTGTCAACATTCAGGGACAATAACACCTCTCTGCTATACGTGATGGCATTATGTTTAGGCTTACACACAGGTCTAAGCATTGGAGGTGGATGGTAGGGAAAAGAGGATGTCCAATAGGCTGGCTCCCCAAAACTAGCAGGCTGCCTTCTGCTTAGATAGGGAGACATGGTAATTGAATTAAAAAAGCAGAAAGAAGGTTGGACAGATTTAGAAATTCTCATCTATAGAAATTGCACAAGTGGAACATTTTTTAAAGGAGAGGCAATTACCTAGATCAGACTACATATTTGTAGGTAGGAAAATGCCTTACGAAACGGACAAGTATTACAAGTGCTATGTAAGCAGTTAGTCTGAAAGAGCAACAACAATTTGCTAAACATCAATTTGGCACAATGGTTCAGTAAGCAACAGAACAATATTAATAGTTATTATTAGCATATTATTAAGCTTGGTTTCCATACAATCGCTATCGCCAACAGTTATCGGTGATGCTGATTGGTCGGTCAAATAGGGGAGCATTCCTGATTGCGTAGGAGACTGCTATGCATGACAACAATTGGATTGAAAACACTGTAGCGACAGTGTAGCAATTTTATGGAAACCAGGCTTTACTAATACTTAATAATAAATTATTTATAAAAAAAATACTGGCATTAAGCAATAACAATAAATCAATAACATTTAAAACACTAATATAAATAATTTGGCACAATGCTTTGCAAATAACCTCACCTTGCTTCATCAATTTCTCCATCAAATTGCTTCACTTCAAGGTTGTACAGAAAACACTCAACTGCTTGGAAAGGAAGGTGTAGGAATTGTGGTAGCATAGGTCGTAGGCTCGACTCGGGCACAACTTCTGAATTTCCATAATCAAGGAAAAACACCTGTGATCAAAAAAACAATTTAAATATTAAAATTTTTTTCTGTAAAGTAAATGTAATAATACTGTATACAATAAGAGAGAAATTATACAGACAGATTAATAACAAGGACCCATAAAAAAGTAATTTCTCGTAACTAGTAACACTATGTCAGAATCCTACATTATAATTAGCATTTTATTTGTGATCAAAGAACACAATTTAAATATCACAATTTTTTTCCGTAAATAATGTAACTATACTGTATACAATAATGGAGAATATATTATACAAATACATTAATAACAAACAAGGCCCATAAGAAAAGGAATCTCTTTTAAAATTGCATAAATTGTCAGGAACCTACACATTAATTAGCATTTTCTTTGTTTATCTCTTAGCAAAGATTTATTAAAAAATGGTTTTTTTTTTAATTTATGCATTGTTAAGTCTCAATTTGCTTAGCACTACCAGAATGGCTAAGACCAACAATACAGTTAAGTTTTCATGTTTAATTCATCATGTTTATACTTCCTCTATTTTGGAGTAGAACCTAATTTATACATTGTTAGTCTTAATTTGTTTAGCAGTACCATAATGGCTAAGACCAACAATACAGTTTAATTTTTCATGTTTAATTTTTCGTGTTTATACTTCCTCAATTTTAAGAATCAGAATATATTCTGATGGCCTATTGCTGTTTGTGCAAGAGCAAAGCCCACTACTACCTTGAATTTTGACTTTAATGGCTCAAGTACACATTACAGTAACAGTAAACTGTAAATGTTCCGCAGTGCTTTAAAACGTTTTTTGAGGTTTTCAGTATGGTGTCTATTCGAGAGCAGTGCCTATTTGAGAGTAGTACTTATTAAAAATTAATGTAGTGCTACAAAGATATCATGTACTGCACATAAACCTATCGGACTAGTTGCAATGTCAGTATTATTTAATCCATGAGAAATCGCTTAATCAATGATATCTTGATGATAAAACAGACATAGCTTGTTTGGTTTCTCGGTTAACTTCTGCAACGTTTATTCAAAGTACAATATATCTCAAAAGCCCTGTCCAGGCTATCAAATATTATTTGATAAAAACTTTTGACATGCCTAAATATGGTCATGATGACATCACATCATGACCATATATAGGCACATCATGACTATATATGGGCATACAACAGTTGTTTTTTTTTTGTCAAAGAAAATATGATAATCTGGACAGAGCTTGAGGAAAGTCCACAGGCTTTACAAAAAAATAATGTGTGGTGCTGCACTTATTCAGCAGCAGTGTTTATTTATGAAAGGCTCTAATAACTGAAGTATTTTTGGCATCATTTATTGAAAACTTGACACTGCATAGATTATATCAATGTCAAACTTCTAAACCCAGATACCAAGTTTTACAATTTTATTTATCTTAATAATGGCACAGTTATGTACTTTGGATCAAACACCTCTCTGGGGTGTTTGCATCAGTGGTGATGATGGTCTGTACATTGGTGAAGATAATCCCGCCCCCTATTTTTTTCTCCCGATAAGAGTAGGGAAATAACATGCAAATGAGCCGCCTTGGACGAGAAACTAAACGTCTCTTCTGAAAGACGGTGCACTATAGTACTGTAACGTGCATTTCAGTCCTGAAGCCTTAACACAACGAAAGCAGCAATAAGATGGACCTTCCCGGCGTGTCAATCAAAGTTCACAACTGGCCAATCAGAACAGGGCCAGGAATACATATGTTTCTCATAAACACATAGGTTGTCCCACAAATACACATGTTTGTGTATGTTTTAACACTGTAGTTTTGTGAAACCTTGCAACAATATATAAGGGCAGCAGGGCGGAAAGGTCCATTGAACTAGGGACCCAAGTGACCTCTACAGTTCAGCACACACTCAGTGATTCTCAGCTAAATATGATTCTCTATTATTTACATACAGTAGAGTTTTATAAAGAATACTAGAGCACTAACTCCAATGCATTTAATGTTCAATATACGCAAAGCTGCGTGTGTGTACTCAACAAGGTGGCTGCCATATATCCAGCCAATCAAAATACGCCTAAGCATCATTTTCAATGGGGCGCCCTCAATTTAACCTTGAAAGTTTTGAGTACAAAAATATAACTTGAGCATTGTAGTATTGCGTTGTAGCAAATATGTGATTTTGATTTTCATTCAACAGTACTTTATTTTTAATATCAGATACTCCACCTGGCCTCTTTTTGGCTACACTAGTTTAATAATAATAATGATTAATGAAATAATAATTTAGTCAGAGGGCTATTTATGGTTATAATATGTATATTAAGCCTGAAGGTCGTGCTTTCCTACGGCGGCTATCTTGTTGAGTACACATTTATAACTCTTCGTCTCCTAGTACTCTAGTTGTTCAATAGCTCTGTGATTATTTGTGGCAGGAGAGCGTTAATATGTGGTGGTGCAAGTTTCTGTTTTGTATCATCAATTTTTATGTTTAGATTATTAGAGTTTACTTCCTATTATGTATTGTTTGTCTTTTTAATTGTTTTGTGTTTATGTTGTTTTTAAAAGCACTATAAAAGGACAATTACCTTTCTATAAATCACTTTCTGGTTAAATGCTTTTAAGCGAATAACAAAATATTAAAATAAATGGTATTTAACTAAATATTTCTATTTTATCTTATTTTATTCATTCTGGCAAAAACAATATAAAAAGATTACAAATACAAAAAAATCAGCAAATTCACAAACATAAAGAATAAAAATAAGCCAGGGAGCAGCAAAAGTGAAAATGCTATCATCTTAGAGATGTGCTTCTTCATTTTCTATCTATGCAAATAGTTTTTTTATGGTTTCTGAGTGCTTTGTATCTTCTTTAAAAGGTATGATGCTAAATGGCTGGCAACTGCTTAACATTTTTTTCAGTGTTATGTTATAAAATCATTTTATTTGCTGCATTCTGACATTTAGCATATCTGAATCTGAGCTATTTTTCGATAAAAATATCACAGCTTCGTTTTATAACACGTACCTCCACTGTGTTTTCTTCTGCGTTAGTTGAGGTGACTCTGGCTCGATACCAGGTGTTATCTTCTGCGTGTTTAGCACATACCAATTCTCCAACTGCTTTTAACAACAGGTCAGTTTTGTGAGTATGGGATGACTTCCCATAAATATGACTGTAATTTTAGAATATAAAACTGTCAAGAGCATAATTCTTGCCAAGCAGTAAAGCAGGGGCGCCACTAACTACAACCTTAACATCGGCGCTGTTTCCAGTTGCTCCTTGACCAGGGTTTGCTTGGTACAACCAAGTCTTCTCCGATATAGATCAAAAATGAAGGGCTAGCGTACACATCTGGCTGATGTGCACCTTAAAGAACCCACTGCATCTTTCGGAAGAGTAAGGGGTTACCCCGATGCTATGGTTCATTTCAGTCCCTGTCGTTGTGGAATGATGTGAACATGTAGTTACTATATAGGCATCTCTTTACAGCGGCTAGGTAGTGCATGGACCATGCCTATATGCAATTTAGCACAATGGCGTTGCGACCTATAGGTTATTCTCCTACCTTGACCTTTAATTATTTTTCTAACTAGAGACAAATCTGCTTTAAGACCATAAATGAAAATGCCAGTCTCAAAAGTGGTCGTTAACTTGTGGAAGAACTGTATATAATTTAAAATACATTTCTGCTCTGATTTATTAAACAAGTGATCTTGAAAATTTGTTGTTTTTAATAATGGATAACACAGAGTTTAAAATAAATAATACTGGTTTCAACATTTAATAGTAAGCAATTAGTAAAGATGTGTATCATGCATTAATGGAAAGTATTATACAGTTAGATGAATGCATTAAAAAAAACATTTTTTCAAATAAATTAACATTATGAAATTCTAGACAGTTGTATAATAATCAATCAATCAATCAAGCCTATATCAAGATTCCCAATAAAAAAAAAAGATTCACAATGCACATTACTTCATCAAATTGGTATTTTTTTAAAGTTCAAACTAGCGCTATACAAATCCATGTTGCATTGACTGACTGATTGAAATGATTAAATATACTAACATTTTGTATTGCTATTGTTAAAACGCTTTTAAGTAGTTGCATAGTGTCTTACTTTATTGAATCTACAAGGCTTTGTAGGGTCTCGCCCTCATCCTCCACTGCATTCCCACTCCTCTCCACCTTTACATCTTCCAGAGGTTTGGCACCATATGGCAGATGAGCCCAGAAGTGACATGCACTGTGGTATGCAGTTACCTGCATAGCAACACAACTGCCTTCTTCCGGCAGCGATATTGGGTTGTCAGTCCAGTAGGCATCTACTTTCTCGCTCCCTAAATCTAAGACACAAGAAGAAACCACGTAGAAAAATGATTTATAAAAAATGTAAAAGTAAACTGTTGATTGTCTTTATCCATCCAATAGTACAAAGAGTGGCTTTTTTCTATTTTAGTCTGCTTTGGTACACCTTGTGTAAAAAAAAACACACCAAGGATAACCCACAAAAGTCTGAAGGCTTTTCCACTGAGAGACTTCTGGTGAATTGGGCGGTACACCAGGAGACAATTTCTGTTTCTATTTCAAAGAGCACATGGCATTCTGTAACATGCACATGGGCTCTACTGCACAGATGCCTCAGTCAACAGGTTTAACGTCCCATACAAATGGCTGTGTGCTATTGTAAATTCTAGTTCAGCAATTTAGCTGAAACACAAGAAAAACAGTGATGGAATTGACCAGAAATTAAAGGCCTAAAAGACTTTCAGTGTTCAGAGCCCACACATGGCTACCACCAGGTTAGCCGAGTAAGCTAAGCTGCTGAAAAAAAAGATCAACATATATTTTTTACATTGTCTACTTAAACTGAAAACAAAACAAGAATGAATGTAAACATGCATGATCTGATAGTCAAAACAAGAGTGAAGCTGTGGTTAAGGTGCTTGAATAGAAGAAAAATTATTATTTAATTAAAACAATAGTTGAAATGTTGAGGGCGCTATAATAGTTTTATGCGAGAGCGCAATGTGGTTGTTGTTGTTTTTCGATCATGGCTGTTGACCGGGTTTTCTTTGAAAATAAAGAAACAAAACAAAGTTTAAATGCGATTGTGTTTTTTTATGACAGTGAGCAGTAATAAAATATTGGAAAGCGTCAATCCAGTGCTTGTCATCTAATACCATGGTACTGGTTCCAAATCTTGCAAAAGTAAGATCTACTCTTTATTTCTAAGACACATATTAAAGCTCAATTGTTAAAAAAGCATCAAATGGTGCATTTTTTTTATTCATGTATCATCTTAATGTGGTGTTATTTGTTGATTAGGAATTAAATTTTAAAATGTTAATAGGACATAAATGTAAAGCAAACAATGATATTAAACTTAATAAGAAGAAACACCCAATTAATGGAATTATACTATGTATTTCATGCGAATAAAGGGAGGTGGGATGACCAACTTTTAAAAAATGAATGCAACTATTCTAGGAAGGGTGATTATTTTAAATCATTAGTGGTGACACCCAATTAATGATTACTATTTTATACTATGAATTATACTTTGCATTCCTTCCATGCAAATAAAGGTGAAATATTACTAAGGGAAGAGGGGTGACTCAGTGGCGTATCCAAGGGGGAGCGTGGGGGGAGGGCACATGCCACCCCCACAAAAAGCTTGCGCCCCCCCCCCATTCGAAAACTTCGAAGCAAAAAAAATTAGGCTAGGCTTATGCTTATGCTGTCACGGTTAACGTGTATTCGGGAATCTAAGAAGCAATATTTTTCAGTGGGCATGGCCACCAAAAATAAATTCCACGCCCCCTCATATTTTGGTCGCCCCCCACCCAGCTAGATACACCACTGGTGTGACTTAAACTTTTATGATTGAATGTAATTATTCTAGGATGGGTGATTATCATCATTATTTAAACCAATTATAAGTGGTGATGATTTAGGAGAATTTTTTAGTGGTAACCGGGTGCCAAAAAATGTATTTTTAAATTCTTTAATGCATTCACACTTGGCATAAGTCTAGAGTCTTATGATCAACCATCATTCATCCTATGCCTTTGGCTTATGGTAACCACTAGAATCTGGACTCTTCATTGCTAACATACTGTAGTAACTTACAAACTAGTACATATCTATGTAACTGTCAATTATATGCAAAAAGTTGATGCTTACAGACACTACATGTCATTGTTTTTTTTCACTGCAGTCAAACTGATTCAACATATTCAAAATCATCATAAAACATGTTATATATTTACTATAGGTATTCAGTATGTTGACTGAATATATACAATGACTGAATCTGTGCCTTTTTGCATATTAGACAAAATATTTTATATCATGCTTCTCTACCATTGATAAAAATATCTACTAAAGAATGCCTAACATTCTGATCATAAATTTGAAAACTACAGTAAATTTTAATGCTAATTTAAACAGCACCACCAAACATTTCTCCTTTGAACAAAAATAACAGACTTGGTGCAGTATAACACTAAATTCTGGTAATAAAGCAAGAGCAGGGGTCTTAAGTTGGGAAAAGGCACTTCTGCTAGATCTGGTTTAATGAACTTTCTAACCTTGTATTTTGTTGTGTGTGATGATAAGCATTTCCAGCTGAATTCACAGGGAGACAATTGATATTAATACAGAAGAATATTAATTCACAGAAAATAAGTGGGAATTCAGGAGGTGTTTGACAGCTCACAAAGGTGTGGGAGACCATGGCATTTTTTCGGACATTCCAACAAAATGTGGTAGACTTCATACCTTTGCAGCATTAGAGTGTGTTGAATTGGCATATGTTATTCATTTTTTTTTTCATTAGATATTTTTTAAGCAAATTTTATCATTTTATCTTCTAAAATACATAGCCAGGCTAAGCATACATTTGTTGAGTGTAACATATAGTTCAATCAGTGGTTCCTTAAATGCCCTTGTTTGACTCCCAACTAATATCAACACCCTTAACTTATTTTATTTTAAAAATTTGCCAACCGTACATTATATAAATTTTGTGTCAGTTATAGGCTTGGGCAACACAAATTCTTTTGGCCTCATCTTAATTACCTTTACAATGACTAACGCTCTTGTTGAATTGCCTAAACAGCAAGTAAACCTTTTGTCCATTGCTCGATCTTTTCAAAAACTTTGGTAAAGCATGGCGGTTGGGACACCAGTCACCCCAATAACATCCCAACCTCTCAAAGTAGAACCGGCATACGGTTATTACTGAGGAGTTAAACACTGCAAGCAATTAGCAACTGATGCAGGCAGATAAACTTTATATAAAAGGAAATTAAAGATTTTAATTGGGAATCAATGCTGTAAAAAAGCTCTTTTGATATTTACTACTAATAAATTATATGTCTAATTTTCTAATTGCTATTAATGCAAGAAGAAATATTAATTATAGTGACAATTTAATCAAAACAGACACAAAGATAAGATATTAGTATCTTATTAACCTACATGATCATACATGTCAAAAGAATTGAATGATTTAAAATTGTATATATTGATACGATGTAATCTAATCTATAACAAAATGTAACCTAATTCTATTGTAGAGCAGGATAAAAACAAGCCCACCTAACATTGTCCACCCCACTTTAACAATGGTAAAGTCAAATGTGGGTGGTGTCTGTCCGAGTAGTTATTGTTTGGTTGGGGGGGGGGGGTATATGACTGGTTGATTGCCAACCCAAAAAAATCAGGATTTTCTTTTGCAGATGGACCATGGAAAGTGGCATATCGTGTACTAGTAGGCTGGGCAGTGCGTCTGCAAACAAGATTCACCGTACAATATTACCTCATACCCAGCTTGGGCAAGGATATGACAATAAGTAGTTAATCATCCTTATAATTGTTAGTTCCATACCTTCTGAATTAAAAAAGTCATTGTTAATAATTGTGTGAATATCTCAATAAATGTTTGTTGTGGTTGTACAATTTATATTAGTACCAAAATGAACACTGCCACAAATCATAATATGTGGCAGTGTTCATTTTGGTGGTTGTACAATTTATATTAGTACCAAAATGAACACTGCCACAAATCATATGTGGCAGTGTTCATTTTGGTGGTTGTACAATTTATATTAGTACCAAAATGAACACTGCCACAAATCATAATATGTGGCAGTGTTCATTTTGGTGGTTGTACAATTTATATTAATACCAAAATGAACACTGCCACAAATCATAATATGTAGAACATGGACAGAAGCCCGGCTCATTTTTGGAGAATAATTACTTCCAAGCAACTTTCTTTCTTCCGTTATTTATTTTAAAATGCCTTACATACCACTAGAAGCACTACGTAATATATCAATAGTAGGGCTAAATTATAATTAGCTATACAAACTATAAATTACAGTATAATGCATTAATAGTTCAGCCATATACAATTATAATATGCAAGAAAAATTAAAATGTTACCTCTGGAGTGCAGATTCTGACAAGAGTCGCCTTGGTAGCAAATATCCCCTCTGGCGTAGAACGAACAAATCTTATGAACTCTCTCTGTTTCTGAAAGACAAAATGAAAAAAAAAAACTTAAGGACTTTTTGTCTTTCCTTGAGTACAGTCTTGCTTACGGCAGAACAAACAATACCACTACCCTTTCCTTTAATGAAAACCATCATTTTTCCCTGTACTTCACCAGGACACATAGGCACCCTATAGCTTGAAAGAAAACAATCTTATGGAATCCGGAATTCTGGTTATGGGCCAGGAAGTCTTGATGGCTGAAATAAGATATACATACTGTAACCCACTGTTGCTACTCCCGGGTCATCAACATCGATACTGTAAGAATTACGCTGTGACATGTAATCTTCCGTCATTGGATTCCACTTCTCCAGGGCGTCGACAATGTCAGGGCTGATAGAGTTCTTATCATTGGTTTCTTGGTGCGTGTCTGAAGGCAGGCTCTTAGGTGAAGTGGTCTGGCTGGACGTTTTCGGACTATCTACTATATCACTGCAGTCTATCTTGACAACAGGACCATCTAAATAGAACAATAAATGATGATTAAACATCAATGACTAATAATATACAGTAACATATCCCAATTACAAACCTCCCATTTACAAACTCTCGATTTTACGAACCGAATTTGATGCGGTGCTGTCATTACAAACAATCATATTTAACTACAAAAACACTTTAAAAGGTATTTTAAAGTCTTCAGAAATAATTTAAATTGTCACATCAGCTAAGAGAGAAAACATTCAAACCTATAAAATGATATAAAACTATGTTTCAAGCAAGAAATATCAATCGTTCGTAGCTGAGATACATTATCTTTGAGCTTTGCATGCTTACTCAGGAATACAGTACAGTAAATCTCAATACTTGATCATCCAATGAATACTTCACAGTGAGCACAGGTAATTTTGGCTTCTGTGAAGTATTATATTTTTTGCAGAAAACAGTAAAATACAAGTCATATTGTGCAACAAAATGTTTCTCCCATGGAAAGGCTTAGAGCCTACCTAGTCTTGAACATGTAGCATAGGCCTACCCTCACCACACTAAGATGCTGAAAATTTGAACTCCCTGAATTACGAAATTGCTCATTTACGAACCCTTTTCGGACAGAGGGGTACGTAATTGGGAGATATTACTGTATACAAGAATAATAATACTGCAATGCTACAAATAGTAAAAACAATAAGTATATCAATAGCTATAGTAAGTAAAATAAACATTGATTTGTATTAACTACAATTCCATACAATTTGTAACGTTTTATGTTAGATAAAAAGAAAACAAACAGAAACACATAAGCATGCTTACCAAATTGTGCGTTAAACACTTCTGAATCAGCATGACCCAAGGTCACCAACCTTTCATTGATACATGTCTGTTTGCCGTTGATAATACTACTTACTATCATATTGTACGCTTGCCCACTGTGTTGAAATAAAGTTGTATATAAAGTTTTGTCTCTCATAAAAACTGTAAAAATCCTTAAAATATCATTCAACAAATTGAATTGCTCAATTTAAATACCATATTTATTCAAACAACCACCCCACTTTGAATAACAGCCCCTCATTTGGAACAAATGCCATCAACCTCCCTAAATGACTGTTTAAACACATCTAATGGACATCTTTCTTAACACAGTCTATTTCATATTTTACACCAGTGGAATTACATTTTTTCTAAATAAAATATTTTGATGGCAATTATGTGATGTAGTTCTACATTTACAAGGAAATTAAGGGGCGAGTGTATACATATCAATTTGACACCAGAAAACAAAAATGCCTCCATCGAATAAATGCCTCCTCAACACTAAACACCCTGGGGCTTTTTTTTCCAGATAAATACGGTTTGAACACATGTTAAAGAAAGTTATGGTACTGTGGGGCACTTAAACAGATATCCAACCATTTCTGAAGCAAAAATACACAGAACATGTATATTAAAAACTTCTTGGCATCATTTCATAAGGCGACTCTTTTAGATTATGCCACCTCTAAACACCCAAAACTGACATTATCAGGCCAGCTATCACCGGCTTAGAAAATAAAATAAATATTTCCCTAACAGACTATACTCTTAGACGGCTAGGCCAGGTGCCCTTGTGACTGCAGATACCTCAGGCTTTACTGGCATGACACTGAAGCTCCCTTGCTACAGATCCTGTAGGATCTTAAATTAAAAGCAGTTAGCGTTTCATCTATGCAGGTTAGATGCTTACTTTGGTTTCTCATCGGTAGTTATCACTTTAGCTGTCAGCCTATGAAGATACCCTGCGAGTTCAACAAATTTTTCAATATCCGCAACTGACCAAACATCTGAAATGATATTGGGAAGCTCATTATAATTGCATATCAATCTCTATGCTTCATTGAATTTCATTAGAAGTGGAAATAACATGGTTAAAATTATTTTGTTAGGTTCACATCTATCACCACCAAAAACTTCAAATCTTCAATATGTTAAAAGGCAGCATAAAAAGACATCTTTCTTGTAAAACACTAAAAATAATTTATATACTTTTCACTAACTTATTCTTAATTTGATTTCAATTCTACTTTTGATTTTTTGTTGTGCGATCCATTGAAACCGAAAGTGCAAAGACAGAAAGATATAAAATAAACGAACAGGTATCAATGTAATAGCATTAGCAAACCTTCTTTCAAGGCATCCTCTGTCACCTCCTTCTTCCTCTTCTTTGGAGAAACATGAGCAAGAGAACATCTAATCACCTGGGCTGGTAGATCAAAGAACCAAGATGGTAGTCTTCGAAGGTCACACAGTGGAATCCATTCTTTGTTTCCAAAATCCACATAGTGAATGTGAGCAAACGTCACTGATGAATCTGTTGCTGTTTCTGTTTCTAGTACCTTAACCCGATACCACAACTTGTCTTTTGAAAATTTTGCACTGCAGATGCTTCCAACTGTCACCTTGAAGTTGTCATCAGAATCCTTACACGAACTAGTCGCAAAGTGATCATTAAGCTCATTCATCAAGTAATCCAACTTACAAGCATCACTGCTAATGATATGAGAGTAAAACTCGGTGGGACTAATGACGTAAGAGACTGCTATATCAATACAGCCATTTGCATCAAACTTCAGCTTTCTCTCTGGCAAGGATGTTAATTCGTTAACTGGTTTGACAACAATTGGCTTTGTTAATGACTCATGACTTGGTGATGATGAACTTTTGCTTGAAGGAAGGGACGGAATTTCTGTAGATTTAACATTCAATTCTTTGGTTACCACCCTTTTCTCAATGACATCATCCTTTTGAAAAGATGGAGTTCTGGGAGTGTTATCCCTCTTTGCTGTTAGTCCACCTGGAATGCTATCCTCTGAAGAAGCATCTGAAATTGATCTAGTTGATCTTTGATGCTTCCCACGACCTCTTCCTCGACCCTTTTTGACACTTTGAACTTCAACCTTTGTAATAGCTTCATCATTAATTCTGATATTCATTCTTGGTATGTTTGGAACCTTATTTGAGTTCTTGGTTCCAATTACTGGTCTATTGCTGGTTGCTCTTGTGTTTCCAACACTTGAGCCCAGATCCTTCTGATGGCTTGCCTGGTTTATTTCTGGAGATACTTTAGAGCAACTGAGGTTTGTGGCTGAAGACACACCACTTGATGATCTTGACAACTTGGATATTTGATCCTTTACATTAGTACTGATTAGTGTACTGGCCTCATTCGAATCATGGACCCTGGCCTCCTTATCTTGCTTCAACCTCTCACAGATTTGCTTCGCTCTTGAAATTGGATTTTGGATCACTGGTTCTTTATGCGCAGTCACTGAATGACTTGACAGACTGTCATGCGATACAGGAGGTTCTATATATGTCGGATTTTCACCTATTATATAAAATAACATAAATTCATTCAATGTGTAACAATAACCGTGATTATTTATGAACTTTTTAAAATAACATAATGCGAGTCGAGTGGCTGAGTGGTAAGGTAGGGCTGCCGTTAACTATAGCCTTAACATTGGTTTCTCAGCTGTATTATTATTTATTATTATTATTAATAATATTATTATTATTATTTATTATTTATTTTTCATTATTTACTATTCATTGAAATTTTGATTTGTAATTTGTAAAACATTTAAACGTTTTGATTTAAAACAATCAATATATTATAATACAATTAGGCCTATCTTTAAAATATATTTTTATCTTTAAAATCTTTAGTTGCACAATTAATTGATTTGTAAAGCACAATTGGGCATGTTTGCATAGCACAGGACTCCTTGGACAAGTTTTCGCTTTTATTGGAGGATTCAATTTTTATTTTTAATTATAATTTAAGCTACCTTTGACGTATTGACTGATACTTCATGTAGCTTTCTGGAAATTTAGTTATATAATTTAACAGCAAAGTGCAACATTGCATCTTTTTATAAATCATTGCTGCTTGAAAATTCTTCCTTTTTTTTTAAATTATCATCGTAATTAAGCTGATTTAAGTACTACCTTAAGGTGTTCGGCCGAAGAAGTACCGAAATTTAGGCCTGTCTAGGCCTAAGTAGTAGTAGTAGTAGGTGGATATATTACCGCGAAGTGGGGCGGGCGGTACATGCCTTATAATTTACTACGTGGATAGCGAGATTTTTCGATCGCCATGCAAAGTTAAAATAAAATCCCAAATCCTCCTCCTTTTTGGAATTTAAGGAAATTAATACATTTTTGTTTCTTTGTTGGATCGATTGCAGCAACCCCAAACCCAACATAACGGTATTTCACATTATAGAGCATTAATCATCTATAATAACTGCTAACTTCCTACCCTATCGCGTTGTTTTGTTTTGGTGACAACATGGCCGGTGTAAGTCACGTGATTGAAACCGAGTTGGCCAAACTCTCTCTATCTACGGCTCTGGCTTCACGGCCAAACACATGCCATCTCACGGCCAAATTTGGCCAAATTTTTTTTCGATATCGGCCAGATTTTCATCCGATTAGAAGGCAACAGTGGGTACATATTCATTTGAAATACTACAAAAATTACATGAAAATCAGCGGTCATTCGTTTGAAATTGAAGGAATTCAAATGATATAACCAGAACAATGTTAAACTTTCACTGTTTTTCTTTTAATTAATCTATCACCATAAAATACATGCCCAGCCCAATCATAATATTAAAGAGCCTATGTTCTTTAGTTGCTGGCATGTACGCCAATTCAGGGGCAAATCTAGAGATGTCCGAAAGGGGAGGAGCCGGGGCCGAAAAAGGGGAGGGGAGGGGGGGCGAAAGTGGATCCGATCAAGATAACACAATCTTAGAGGAAATTTTTGTTTTCTCCCCGAATAACCTGATGCCTTTGGGCGATCAATACTTTCTTGTTTTCACTCCCCACCACCCCCCTAAATAAATCCAGTATTTAAAATCACATTATTAATTTTGATCTAAATTTGATTTAAATTAATTAAATATTAAGGTACATTGTAGTCGATCTATAGCAAAAATTTTAAGGGCCTGTTATTGTCAAATCCGTGGCTCTCTTTAATTAAAATGAATTAAGTGACATAGTTAGGTAACATAAACTGGCGTTAAAACAACACTATTTAATAAATACTTTTTATCTAAACTTTTTCTAAATTCGCATCTGAATGTTATTGTCACAGCACTTAAAGCAATAAATCAATGTTGCTATCAGAATTATCTTCTTCATTCTCATATGCAACCAGCTAACTCCAGAGTAACTTTGAAGTCTCTGCAACACAACTGCTTGAAATTGGAGGTGCCATCGGACCCGAATGATCACATCGAGCATTTATATATGACACTCTACATAAGAACACTGCAGCACCTAGAGCTATATAATTCAAGTGGGCAATAATTTAATTAAAGTACAGTATTCAATTTATATTCAAAAGAAATCCAAAAGAGATAGAACCTCCACTAGGATGAAACATATACAAAGACACACGTCACAGTATATGGTACAAACTTGCATTGAACTGTCTTCATAAAGCGTAAACGAGGATAAATTTCATACAAAATGTATATTTCATCTAAACAATTTACATTATTAAATGTAACTGTTATTTTTAAAATAAACTCTCTTACGTCAAATCGGCTAAAGGGGGAACATAGATTAAGTGTTTAGTGCAAGTACAAACAAAGGTATACGATTGAATCAAATATAGAATTTAAGCTAACAAAAACAACATATCCAAAACAAATCTACGTTATATTAGGCCTATATTGAAAAAAAATGTAAACTTTTCAAAAATTCGGCCAAATTCGGCCGTGACTTTTCAAACGTTACGGCCAGGCAATTTTTTATACGGCCAGATTTGAGGAATCTGGCCGTCAAAAAGGTCAAATGGCAACCCTGGTTCATTTCAGTCCCTGTCACTGTGGAATGATGTGAACATGAAGCTGCAATCTCTTTCAACAGCAGACAGGTAGTCACTATGTTCAAATGCAATTTAGCACAATGACCCATGCTAATTGTGGTTTATTCTCCCACCTTTAAAATTACTAATAATAACCTTACTTTTTTGTTGAACAGTTGTTTGTGGAACATTCTGGATAAGGGGGGCAGCGTGTTTATTTTCAATCATCAAGTCAGCGACATTAACCTACAAAAAAACATTCACGAAAGTCAATGATGGATGGATTTAACCTTTTGAACCCAAATTTAACATAACTCAATAGCCAAACAATCCTCCTGAGTAAAATCTCAGTTTAACTATCACTGCATTTCTAAGAACTGAAGCAACATTATAAACTTCTAGTAGGCCTTGGCTGTGTGTAGGCCAATCTATGACTAGCTACATAAGCTACGACCACATCGTCTAACATAAGTTCATCTGAGAGTCATTAATTATTTGTCAATCTAAATAGATCATACAACATTCCAGTTGTTGTAATCCTTATGCTAGCTTTAAATTTTTACAGACATTTGGTCAAAATATTAATTAAATAAATAAATCCTACCAGGATGTAAAGGCAAGCAAACAAATAGCTACTTCATGCAACTCATAATTCCAAATTGTTCCAGAGCGCAAAGTTTCCGTTCCATTTTTTGACTAGTTCAAATCAAATATGAACAGGAAATTTAATTTAAACCATGACCCTGAAATCTGTCAGCCTGATATGTCTATCAAAGAAGCAGGAAAATGTATTTGATATATAAGCTTATAAGGTAAACAGTTTAGTCCCACAAGTTCACATGGACATTTTTGTGAGCCAACATACATTGTTAAAGAGTTGCAGAGCTAGAGTATGAGAAGGTTCATTATATAGTTATGGGGACATGAAGTTTCTACTACAAAAATTGCAAGTTCACCTGGTAAGGTTAACACAGAACCTGCTATCAATTCTATTTATGAAAGTTTGCTTCTTTCTCAGCAGTGAACACACACACACACACAAAATTGCACTGTACTGTATGTAGTGAGATTTATACAGTGCCACTGCATAATACCAAAGACAGTATGGAATAGAGAGCACAGTTCCATTTGTAATTACATCACTCCCCTAGTAACGATGGAAGTCACCAATGTCGTCATAAAGTGCGTCCACTGCATTTGTTTGCCACATGGAAATGCACCCCACACAAGAAATAAAGATGCATCTATTTCTAAAAATAGTAACATTAATCTAACAATCGCCCCCTACGAAAGAACACAGATATACAAACTGTGCTAGGTAGTACTGGGTGACAACAAGAAAACAGCGGGCATCGTCTCATAGCTGCGTATAAGTCACAAGCATACTGTGCTACTCTTTTGATTCTATACTTTGATCGCTTTGATAATACTGATGTCTATGCGCTGAGGAAAGCGAAAAATAAAGAAAATAATAATAATCATCAATAATACTCTATACTATTTTTTACCTTTATTTTTGGTGAAGTTTCTCCTTCTGAAAATGGCATGGTACCAGCCTGGTTAGCCATGACGTTATATGTCAGGTCCACCAATGGAGCTCGGGTACCGGAACGAACTGTAACTTTTGCCGTAAGTGTCTGATTGACAACTAGTTTGACGAAAAACAGTGTCTGCTCATGAGTCCACGTCTGTATGCCTGGTGGTTTCACCTTTGAGTTAATCATAAGAGCTTTAACTTATTTTCATATATTGTGATAAAATATCACATTGCTGTTAGTGATAACTGATATTGATAATTCCAGTTATGATAATGACAACGATCATGATGTTAATGATTTCAAAGATGTTGATATCATGACATCATAAGGATCAAGATAATGATGGCGACGATGCTATTATGAGGTAGATGATAATGATGATAATTAAAATGATTCTAATTATAACGACATGAGTATAATCATAATCACCATGACAATGATGATAGTGATAATTACATTGAGAGAGATAGAGAAAACAATGATTAAGATGATGTGGCTGATTATGACATGATAATGAGGATGATGATGATGATAAAGAAAAAAACCAAAGTATAATCTAAAACTCACCCTTGATAGCCCAGCACACACAGCTTGTGCTGGTAGGACAGCCAGCTCTGGCAGTAAGTAGCGAAGCCTGCTTAGTGGTAGCCTCTCACAGTTTCCATAATCAACATATACTACCTTGACTTCGACCTCTGACCTGCTTCCTAAACACACATAACTTTCAATCAGAATAATTACATATATAAGAATATTAGGTACTGTATATTCTTTTTCAGATCTTGAAGTGGATACTCGGAAATTTGTAGAGGCAATAAAAAAGTACTGTCCCATTTGGGACATGATTCAGCAATTGTTTGTACTTGTTAGCATTTACAGCAGGCCAAAGAAATGCTAATCATAAGGCAAGATCACTAAAACATTTACTCCTGATATTTATTTAATCACAACGTTTGAACTTCTTAAAAAATGTGTTGTACCAGAAGGTTGAACGATCTAAAGTTAAGGAAACTACATCGTACATGTGACAGCCGTAGCTGCTCGCACATACTGTAGGTATAAGAATATTGTCTATATCGAGGACGAAACATCGCGCTATCATGAATCCTATCCCAGAGAAAACATCTAATTAACAACACCAGCAAATTTAAGTTCAAAGAATATTATCTGAATTAAACAAGCACCATGTTGAATTTGAAGGGAAATGACAATCCTCCATGATTTACCGCTCGTCGACACTGTATGACCGTTAACTCTCACGTCATTGTATATACTTACAAAATAACACATGGTTTCGGCAGAGACGCATCAGTAATCTGGCCATGTGCTCCGCCTTTCACTCGCCAAGTCCCGAGTATAATTAGGCCAATGAGTGTCCATGGTACAAGAGTTTGCGCTAATACCACATGACATATGTAAGCTTGTCTGCTGGTTTCACAGTAGCTGTACCTCTAATACAGACTAGATTTTAGCCCGGATTTTAGCCCGGATTTTGGAAGTTACAGCACATAAGGACATAAAGTCCTTCATACAAAGATATATGATGTGAGGGAGCCACAACAGGAAGATGTGTAGTGACCCGCGTAGTTTAAAATCATGTGTTTTAATGACTGAATGGTGAGTTGGCATTCCTCCACCATTTTTTGCTCTTTAAAGACTGTACCACTTACCGCGATTTTCAATTGACGTTTTAAGTATTCAGCTTTTTGAAATAATAGTTAGCATCAAGGTAAGCTGACAAATTCTTTAAAATAAGTATTTTGTGCGCTACCATAATGGTAATTAACCATTTATAACCAAGGCCATGCAAGAAAAAAGCAAACAATTACACCTCTGATGTGGATATTCGAAAATAATAAATTTCATGAATTTCCCCATCACTTTTTTCCAAAAACTCTTTTATTTTCCTACGCTTTCTCCTCAATATACCACTGATTACAGACAAATATTGTGAGAAATGAAGCCTCAGACATAAAATATGTTGTCCTCAAACACGATGGCATAAGACTACACTAATGAGTGGTCTATAAATGTATGTTTGTACATTTATACTTGTTTTGGCACAGAGGAAAAGCCCAAAAATGGTCTGACAGCAGTCATTCTGCTAATGTTGACCAAGACAAATCCTACTGTTGTTCGAACATATTTTAAAATACAGAGTATGTTTTCAAAAGCATAATAGTTTTTTGCCAAAAAATACTTCATTTGCATAGATTACCTGATGGAAAGATATCAATAATCCGGGCCCTGTACCAGCAATTGTCTTGGGTAAAACAGGAGCAGCACGCCATACCAATCACAGGAATCGTCAGCATCTGACCACTGCCCTCTGAATATGCCTGGCTACATGATTGACAAATCAAAGAAAATAAAGCTCTGTATTTGTTCTATATTTTGTTCTGATTTTACACTAAAAACATCAGTACTCTTTGAATAAAAATTTTAAGTTTGTTAATTCAGTGTAAGATAGTATAATACATACTCCAAGTATCGAAATGCACGCCATCGTGTCGGGATTCAAATTAATTCAGTGTGTTACAAAGATAATACCTTATTTGATGCATTAAATTTGCTAGTGGAGAGGAAACTGGTTGAATCCAGAATATGGATGGTGAGATCACCTCGGTCACTAACACATCAAGAACAGTGTCATCAGCAAATGTGGTGTTTGGTATTCTTGGCTGCATGGCAGATTGTTGAAGAAGTCTAGAGATGGCGTCTGGCTGGTATTTCATTCCATGGACAAAGTCTGATGAGTTTGTGACCGACTGACAACTGTCGACTCTGTCCTGCTGTTGGGTTGATCCTCCAAACAGGTTACTGGTGTTGGTGGATGAGCTTAACACCAATGGCTTAGGATTCTCTGCAACCTGTGCAGGTGTATCTTGCATGTATTGACTACTTTCTACAGCAGCTTTGCCAGTGCATTTTTGTACATCTTCAAATCTTTCATCTTTCAAGGATAATACACTGGATTGGTCATCCTTAATGGAAGGATGTCGTTTGGTTTCTGAAACACCTTTTAATATTTTGCTCTCTCTGTGAACAATGCTGCCTGGACAACTAATGCCACGCTCTGTAGATGTAACATCATCGCTATATGATATCTTCCCTTTACCTAGCATTCTTTCATTTGGCTTGAGAACAACTGGTTTGCTTTGGTCAATTAAACGCTGTTCAGACTTTTCTGATGCAGAATCTTCTTCATCGGTACAATCAGAATCTGCATCTTTTAAAGTACAAAACAATATATTATACATCACTAATACATATATTCAAGTGGGACAGGGACCTCAAGTCTCTAGCACCTTATTTGGGTTGTATATAATTTATCAAAAAATTATTTTTACTAAAAATATTTGGGGGGGGATTGGTGGAGTGTGCCCCTTATTTCTCCTCTAAAGTCACCATTCATAAGTATATTCACATGCAATTACAATAATACTGAAACACACAATTTATAATGGTCACTTGCTTTTAGTAGTGCTGTTGATGGTTTTGCTAATGCTATGATCTTACCATTGCTGAGTAGTGCAGGCAAAGAGGCTCTGATAAGGTACATTTTGTCCAGACATCTCTCCAATTCTTGGTTTGTTTCAGAGTAATGCCTCAAGAATGATTTCTTATCATTTTCTGTTATTAGATGACGAGCATCTGAAGTAGGCTAGAACAAACATTATTAAAACATTAAATAAAACATTAAGTACACGGTCAAAATTGCATTGAGGGTCATTTCATATTTAAACTGGTGTACTCTAGGAACATCAATCATTTCCCACAGGAGAAAATAATATTTTTGTTCTCAATCTGAAAAAAGCTACAAGTCACTGTAATAAATTGCCATTCCTTGCCTTAAGTGTAACACATTTAATATAGAACATTCTAAAATAACATTTATCATATAAAACTACTTCAGTAATTAGAGACACCATGTAGAAGCCGAGATAAGGGGTTAGAAGGTTGTAGATATTACGAAGTAGTGTAGGGTATAAGCTATTGGCTGATGATGATGCAATAGAGAATTTTCGAAAAGGCGAATGCTTGCGTATGTAAGAGGATAGGGAGGTTTTAGAAACCACTGTTAATGGTGTTGTTTAGGTGGATTCTTGTCGAACTGTTACACGAAATAAAAGTATTTGTGAGTTGTGCTACACATTGTGAACTGTGTTTATATCCTATATGTCATGTACTTAGGAATTCATGACAGTTACACTGACAGCATATTTTGGGCAGAACCAAAGCTATGTTTTCAGTAGCTTTAATGAATTGAGTGCAAGCTTTGAATTATGAATTTTTTTTTAATTGTTTTTAACTTGTGAAGATATTATGGGAAGCAATTATTGGAAAATCCACAACTGTATTCTTCATCTTTCGACTTTATCTTAACTAGTGTTCATGTGTAATTATTATTAACACTTGCCTTTGAAATAATATCGTCTATGAACTTGTGCATATAGGCTGCTTGTTCTTCTACAGATGCTAGCTTCTCATTGAGTCTTTGCTTCCCCTCAGCTACCAGCTTCTTTTTTGAAGTCATGGTGCATTAGGCCTACCTACAGATATTGAAAAATATGTTGTCATGAAGATTTAAAATGGAACAGTGTGTTTGGCCTAGGCTATGTAAAGTGTATGGCAAGAATTTTTATACCGGCTTGTTTAGCAAACTTCTGCCTGCCAATAACGATGATTTTAAAATAAAAATCAAATTTTATTTTTGCCTAATAAACGCACCTGCTGCCACTAAAAAAACGGAAATTTCAAAAGTTCTTCTTTATTTTTATTACGCCTGCCTTTGCTTTAAATTCTCCAAAAATAAGATAAGTATATTTAATTATATAAATTTAAAGCATTTAACCATCCCATTATTACACAGTTTACATTCAAAAATAAAATTTTATTCTTATTTTCTCCTCGGCCTGGATATTTTTTGCAAAACCACTTGCTAAATAAGAACACAAATTTTACTTTTACTTTTTTTCGCCCTTCTCTAACGATCTTTGAAAAATAAGTTCGCGAAACAAAGGTATAACAAATGTCTCGCCCAGGGGCGGCGCTAGCGGGGTGTCCGGAAGGCAAAGGACCCCTTGTCGGGGACCTCTGAACCCTCCCGCTTGGACCCCTGTCAGGGAATTTACAGCAAGTTCGTCGGGGAAAAATCAATAGCAAGTAAAAAATCAAAAGTACAATTCAAGCACGCCATACTAAATTGTCAAATTTTAGGGATTAAAAACTGTTTAGTGTAAGAAGTGCTACCCTATGTGGTGGCACCAGCTCTTACCCGACAGGGGGCTGGTACACCTGAAAGGGGGTAAGTACCCCGACATCAGGAGGACTAATACCCCCGACAGGGGGACTCTTAAACTTGAATGATTTCCTATCAAATTATCCTTTTTAAATATGGGAGTGGATATATTTACGTGACCATAAACAAATCAGTAAACGATATATCTTCGTGAGATAAATTTTTTTACGCCGACGGCGATGTAAACATACAGTATCCACTTCTTTAAACAAATAATCATAATTAACACAAAGTTTTATTATTTTTTAATGAAAAAAATTCCTGACAAATTTAATTTCTTCACCCGACCGGGGGTGGGGGATAGGGTGGACCCCTCATCATCAGGGAACTCCTGGCGCGGACGCTGTTCTCGTCTAACCAGCACATGAATGATAAACGTGACAATAACTACGCCTGATTGTTGTATTATTGTACTACCATACTACTAGCCTTCCTGTTCAACTCAACTCTCATTTATTAGAGTCTAGACAGTGATCAACCTCACAGGCCTAAATAGCCTAGCGGTTGTCATGGGCGCTCGATCCGCTAGGATAGCCATCACACACCTCACACTCTTGATAAAAATAAAATGACAGCTTAGCTCAGCTCAGGCTCAGAAGTGACATTTATCTACAGTTCATCCACCATTTTACTACCCTAGCACACAAATATCTCTAGTTAATTATAGTATATTATTATGGATTAACCTACCGACCCTACTTTCGCCAATCTAAAACCTCATCAAATGCACTTTGCCTGAATAAACTAGTATTTAATGCACATGAATAAGCCACGAGACTCCATGTCCCAAGCCTTCACACATGTGCGTTTCTTACCTGGCGCTTCCAAATCAAAACACAACAGTATGAAAGGCAAAAATAGTCATAAAATCTATCTTAATTATTCCCTATGACGCGCCTAAGTTGCCGAATTTACATTACAACACGACAAAGAAAAATCAAGAGTTAATATTATTATTACAGTAGTGGTATTTGTTTAAATATTAAAAATAATAATAATAATAATAATAATAATAATAATAATAATAATAATAATAATAATAATAATAATAATAATAATAATCATTATAAGTATTTTAATAATAATAATAATAATAATAATAATAATAATAATAATAATAATAATAATAATATTGTACGTAATGTAACAACATAGATCAATTATATGAGTCTTACTATTATTAATATGTATGTTTTTTAAGGACTACATTTATAATCTTAGGTAGTCATTATTTTATATGGTATTTTAACTAAATCGTTTGTTTGCCTTCAATCTTAACCAATGTTTATTATTTTTAAAAGCATATCATAATCTATTAAATAAATTCTTTCTTCTTCGCATGTTTCTAAGCCGAGAACAGTGGCGGCGCCAGCGGGGGGCGGGGGGAATAACAGATTCTCTAAAATTACAGAAGTTGCAGAATTCTGCTGCACGTCTTATTTTTAACATCCGATCCTCTCATACTCACACTTCACATCTTCTCCGTGAAGTTCACTGGCTGCCTTTTAGGCAAAGGGTTTATTTCAAAATAATGGGCCTTGCTTTCAAGTCACTGTCTGGCCTATGCCCTCAATATAACTCTGACTTACATGTACTTAAAAAGCAAATTCGTACTAGCTAAGATGGGGTGCAGCGCTTCGTATCTGCAAAGAAAGGGGCTTTACAAATGTTCTGTTTGGATTGGATTTGGATTGGGAATTCCCCAGATAATTTTCTTGTTCCCCTTCCCAGTGTTCCCCCTCAAAAAAAGGAGAAAAACCACAATTCGTCAGGGAGAAAAGAAAAATGATATGTATTTTCTACTTATTAGTAGATTATCTATCTGTAAAATCGATTGACTAAGCGTCTGAAACCCCTATATTGTCAGCTTCGTACCTGAACCACTTTTTTAGCGGCGCCCGGCCACCAAAGCATACTGTATTTAACCCTTAAAATTTTACCTTCCACAGCGCCGCCCCCCCCCCCCCCGGAATTTTAGACACTGGCGCCGCCACTGGCTGAACAAATCATAACTGCAAGCATTTTGCAAGTGATCCGGTCATAGCAAAAGTGGGAGGTGGGGAATAAAACAAATGTTTAGGTCTATTGCGAATGTCCTTCACTTTAAGGGATTGAATTTTGATTGCAAGTAATGTGGCCGGCTTGACCCGTATAGGCCTAACTTCGTGTGTGGGGTTGACAATTTGGCTGACTCCAACCCCCAATTTTATGTATAGTGAATTGCTATTTGATATCTATACCTCTAAACATTTTCAAAATCAATCTTAAAAAAGTTTAAATGTACATAGGCAATACATAAACAAACGCATGTTGGATTTTTGTAAAAATATAACATTAAAAATACAATGTGATGCGAACATTAATAATAAATGCATATAATTTATATGTATCAGTAGGCCTATATACGGTATTTAATTTAAAAAGTAAAATAGAATTGAAAAAAGTGAAAAGACCTCAAAGCCGATGCGGGACAGTGCGGTTCCGTTCCGACGGGTTGTAGGCCTACAGTGAAATCTAGGCCTACTGTTTTTCCCGCAGGTCTAAGTTGGCGCTTATATACCGGTAACAGGTTTCAAAATGAGGCTTAGGGAGGGAGATGTGTATAAGAGACAGCTTAGGGAGGGGGGGGGGGAGTGTACTTTCATCATAAGAAAAAAATCTTGTTGCCATAGCAATTGAAACAGGATTATGGGATTGAAAAGCAAGGATTTCCACCTCATCACAAATCAAATAAAAATGTTTTTTATTGACAAAATTACAGAAACTTGGGCTGGAAATTCGTCTTTAGACACAACAAACCAGTCAATAATATTCAATTGTCACATTTCTGACTTGTCATAAAAGTGCGACGTCATTCATTCGCAATATCTGGGTGAGAGTTCAGATCCATCATGCTGGTAGAGAATATATCAGGCTTCTCGTTTGAAAATATTCTGAAAAGAAAAACCTAGATTTAAACGAGCTAGCTAAACAAACATGAGGGTATCTCTAACACAGATTGAAGGTAAACATGAATCTACAAGAATTAACATATCAAATCTGAATTTGATGTGTATGGTCCTATGTTTAATAACCATGATCTGCTTTTTTTTCTTTTAAACACATGGTTGTATATGCGAAATTTTTTAATACCGAATACAACAATATTATTTAAACAGAATGCAATTTATCTACGATTTAATTGTAGAATATTCCATCCACAACGTTTTGTTATCACACGCTATTCTGTTTAAACCTGTTTTTAATATAGTTTCCTGGCTTTTGTTTGCTAAATGTCTTTATAATTTATGCTCAATTCCTCGACAAAATTTTATCCATTTAAATACCAGACACACTGACCATCTTAAACTTAAACCTGTCCGGCCAATTGAATGTTTTTTCCTCTCTGTTATTTTGTATTTCTTTTATTGTTCTTTGGACAAAATAAACGAAATGAAACAATGATGGTGATAATACTAATGACGACGATAACGATGATGATAATAATAACAACAACAACAACAACAATAACAATAATAATAATAATAATAATAATAATAATAATAATAATAATAATAATACGACGATACGATGATGAAGATGATGATGATGATGATAACAATAGCAATAATAACAATAACAATAATAATATAATAAAAATAATATTAATAATAATAATAAAGACACACTTGTAAAGAGCATTATGCAAAAATGATTATGCGCTTCACATCAAAAATAAACTATCACACCTGATCAACAACCGCCAACCAGCCTCTCTACCAACCTAACTACAAATGGACGGTAATTATTACACATACAAAATTTAATACGTTATATAGGAAAGTAAATACAAAATACGCCTACCAGTACATAATATGCACTTATTGCCATTAGTATTAAGAAAAAATAAATGGAATTTTTAAATTGTAAATTCAGAATAAGTACAGATGTCAAAACCTAATTAAATTTGTTTCTCTCAAAAATACAAAAAAAAAGAAGCACAAACAGCCGCAATGAGAAACAACAAGAGAGAGGAAAACCAAAAAGCGAACTAAGTCAAATCGAATCGAATCTCAAATGTTATACAAAATAAAACTAAAATATTAAATGATAATATATAATAAATAATAATAATAATAATAATAATAATATAATGATAGTAGGCAATGATAACATTTGTAAATATCGAATTTAGTATCAGATTACTGTATTATTAACATAATAATAATAGTAATAATAATAGTAATAATAATAAATAATAATAATAATAATAATAATAATAATAATAATAATAATAATAATAATAATAATAATAATAATAATAATAATAATAATAATAATAATAGGAAACGGTAACATTGTAAATTCGCCTTAAGTACTGATTAATGTATTTTTAAAATTTGTTTTGATTAGTTAGGCTCCTTGCGAATGCTGGGCCAATTCTCTTTAACAGTGGGTTGCAACCCTCTCCAGAAACCCTAAATGAACGCTGATCCGATGGACCTATTATTAATAGGTCCATGCTGATCCATTCTTTTGCTCGGTAGTACCTGGAAAGAACGATCTAACTGTATAGTGTAAATCACCATACTGAAACTTTTACAATATAAAACTCAGCGTATTCTAGAGTCTCAAGCTGTACATATATTGACCTAAACTGTATTTTATTACATCCCTTTTACAATATACTCTCATTCTCTAACATCTTATACTATAATGAGGGAGTTTGTTCCATGTGTGTGTTGTAAAAATGCCTATCATTTAATTATATCACTGACAAGGATAGGTCGGGAGCTGTACCATGTACGTATACAACAATATATGTAACACAATGGCGCAAAGATGCGACTCATTCACTGTTATTCGCCATAAAAGCTAGCCATACCCGCAACTTTTCCCAAGATAATCTAACGATCATGTTCACTTGCAGTGTAATCTCAACTTCCACCGACATCGCAATCATTTTTTAATAATTTAGCTGGCAGAATGGTATTGGCAAGTACTTATTGATGAGAAGAGGGTTCACAATATCCGGACAGTCCTCAGTACATCGCATAGCTGTCCAGCAGGTAGGCCTATGACTGATTTTTCTTTCTTTATATTTTCATACCTTAATATAGCTGCTGAGAAGTACATTCCTATATTTTGTCGTTTTAACATTACAGTGCGTTACAATAAAACGAATTGAGTCGGAGCAACAATGTATATATTTATGATGTAGGCCTACTAAATGTGTTGAGCCAAATTTCACAAAAAAAAACAATCATTATTAATATATGAGTAAGGTAAGTTATCATATTTTTTAATTTAGTCTGAAATTATGGAAAAAAAATATTTTTCATCACAAATTAACAATCACATAACTTCAAATATTCTTTGCATTGATTTTAAATTGGCTAGTAACTAATATAAGTAAGTACAGTGATATAAAATAAGTAAAAAGTTTCAAAAACTGAATTATTTCTATCTTTACTTCTCATAGAAAGGGAGCTACTCGTTTAAAAAAGAATATTCTATAACAGATTGTAGGCCGACATCTTTAAGCATCGTCGTTAAAAAACCCATATAATAATATGTGGGTATGAAAAATATATTTAACGGAATGATGATGTAGATAAACAAGTACCACCATTCTCTACACTGTACTACTAGTATTCCCTATTTTCCATGCGATATATTTGTTCTAATAACAATGTTTGATGAACTATTGATGATGCTATATTTATATTCATGCTGTTTTAATTTGTTGAGGAAAAGTTGTTGGCGATGTTCATGAATTTGTAATATGGTACATACTGTAATTAAATGTTATTGATGTTCGTGTGTGTTGATGCAAAGTAGCTGATTATATTTGTAATGTGGTAACTGTAATTAGGCCTAGTACATTTTATTGATATCGAGTTAGTTTAGAATTTTCGAATGGATTTCGGACAGACTCATATTGGATGTTGATGTTTTTATTGCTATTTAATTGAAATTGGCACATGACATAAGCCCAAACATATTAAGTTTATACGTTATTTCTTTAAGACGATTATTAAACAGCTCGATTGTTAACATTTTTTTAAAATATTTTGATTTATGATTTTTCGTTTAATTATCACAATATTAAACAAAGCGAAACAGATTCTGAAGTAGATTCTAACAAAAATATTTTTATTTTTTCAGGTTGATTACTTGTAAAGAGATTTAAATATGTTTTCTAATAGTCATTTTTGCCAGTCGAACTATTCATTACTGATACCAGCATTCGAATGGACACTTAACGGTACCATAAATGATCCGTGTTTCATCGATAGCTTTTATCTAGTAGTATCTGTGATATTTGGAGTTCTTGCGCTTTTGATATTATTTTTCGCGTACTGTTGCACCGGGATACGGCGACTTGATCGTGCGTTTATCGTGCGCTATCCATTTCATTGCACGAGATGGCTCCTTTGTATCTTCCTCTGTCACACTCAATTCGCATCAATAGGAGAAGGTGTTCTGACAACGGTCAGTACTCGGTCTGATGTTCCTATCGAACCTCATTTATACGTTCCTCAAATAATAGCTTTTATAACTCTCATCTTGATGTTATCTTATTACCACCATATGGAAGTGTGGAACGTTTGGCCGATGGTGTTTCTACCTCTGTTTTATTGGATCATGGCATTTGTTGCCGAGTCTCTCCGGTTTGCAAATCTTCAGCATGACCCGAACGTGGACTACGATACTGTCCGATGGATCATAAGTGCTACCAATCTCACCTTATATGGTCTTCTAGCCCTTATAGAATTATGTACAACCCTCAATTTGGTAAGAACAATTTTTTAAATTATTTTTGGCCAAAATATTTCATTCGTTGATTCGTTGATTTGTTCGTTCATTCATTCGTTCATTTTTTCATTTATTTCAATTATTTATTTATTTATTTTATTTATTTATACACTTATTTATGCATTTTCATGAACAATAACAACAAATCATCTATACGAATGTAGGCCTGCTACCACTACAATTGTACAATCAAACGTTGGATAAGATTGATAATAGCGATGAACACTTTGGCTCTAATCATCAACCAGTCTTCTGAAATAAAAAATATATTTTTTGGCCTATATAAATATTCTTCCATGTTTAAACATTACAATTAAAACTTGAAACTCTTAAAAATAGTATCAGTTTACAAAGTTAAAATAAACAGGATTCATTTCTACTTCAGTTAGAAAATAATTATAAACCTATGCATTTTTCTTGCCATTTGTACCCGGCCTTAAATCATTTGCATAGTACCTTAAATTTGTGGAATTTAAGGTGTTCCATAGGCGTTTAATCCAATGACAGGGGTAATGATAATCTGAAGCGCATAGAGGGCTTATCAGTAACAATATGCACCATTATTATTATTATTATTATTATTAAATTGACTGGTAATAAAGAATGTAGAACATTTCGTATGAGTTGAAATTCATGAAATTCGATGTCTTACCGGAAGATGTACTATTACAAGTAGGCCTATTGTGTTGCAAGATCAAATTCACTGAACCTAAATTTAAACTTAAAATGAGCAATTCAATGCTGTAATTGAATATTTACGAGTTTTTAAAGACTCTTTTCAGATTCCTTCACAGACAGTTAACCTTAGTTGATGTTTATATCTTTGTTGGTTAACCGCGTTAATTAAGGGTACCTTCACTTATTTAAAAAAGCTTAATTTTTACAGACAATTTATAATTCCATATGTACGTTAATACTGAATGAATGAAACGATGAAGAATATACGTTGATAAATATATATATAT